TATGTCCATGATTTATTGTTTACGTCTATGATTTATTATTTCTATGATTTATTGAATATATCTATGATTTATTGAACATATCTATGATTTATAGGTAACGACTATGATATATGATTATGTCTATGATTTAACGATTATGTTTATTATTTATTCATTACGTTAACGGGCTTCCTTTGGGGGTATTCATTTCCCAATGTTAAAAGGCTCCTTCTGGAGACAGCCATTCCCCACTTTAAACAGTCTCCCTATTGAGACAGTCGTTTCCTAATGTTTACAAGTTCCCATTAGAGGCAGTCATATCCAAATGTAAACAGACTCGAGCTGGAGGCAACCATTTATGCAATGTTAACAGGCTCCTTTGGGGGGCAGTCATTTCCCGATGTTTACAAGCTCCCTCTTGAGGCACCCATTTACCAATGATCTATTATTTCTATGATTTATTGAATATATCTATGATTTATTGAACATATCTATGATTTATAGGTAACGACTATGATAAATGATTATGTCTATGATTTAACGATTATGTTTATTATTTATTCATTACGTTGATTATTTTTTTTATTTTGTTTATGATTTACTAGTACTTCTATAATTTATCGATTACGTCAATTACTTATTGATAATGTATATGATATTTGATAATGTCAATGATTTATTAATTATGTCTATGATATTTGATAATGTCAATGATTTATTAATTATGTCGATGATATTTGATAATGTCAATGATTTATTGATAATGTATATATTTGATAATTTATTAATTATGTCTATGATATTTGATAATGTCAATGATTTATTGATAATGTATATGATATTTGATTATGTCAATGATTTATTAATTATGTCTATGATATTTGATAATGTCTTTGATTTCCTGGTTATGTCTATGATATTTGATAATGTCTTTGATTTCCTGGTTATGTCTATGATATTTGATAATGTCTTTGATTTCCTGGTTATGTCTATGATATTTGATAATGTCTTTGATTTCCTGGTTATGTCTATGATATTTGATAATGTCTGATTTCCTGGTTATGTCTTTATTTTATTGATTATGTATATGATTTATTTATTATGTTTATCTTTTACAGGTTTTGTCTATGAGTTACGGCTATCATGTATTGGTCCGTCTTTTATTTATTGAAAACGTCAATTATTTTTTCTTTATGTCTATGATTTATTGGTTTTGTCTCTGATTTATTGGTTTTGTCTCTGATTTATTGGTTTTGTCAATGATTTATTGGTTTTGTCTATGATTTATTGGTTTTGTCTCTGATTTATTGGTTTTGTCAATGATTTATTGGTTTTGTCTATGATTTATTGGTTTTGTCTATGATTTATTGGTTTTGTCAATGATTTATTGGTTTTGTCTCTGATTTATTGGTTTTGTCTATGATTTATTGGTTTTGTCTCTGATTTATTGGTTTTGTCAATGATTTATTGGTTTTGTCTCTGATTTATTGGTTTTGTCTATGATTTATTGGCCGCACTCCATGTAGTTTACTGATCAAACCTTAACCATACAAAGACAGCACTCCGTGTATTTTACTGATCGAACCTTAACCATACAAAGACAGCACTCCGTGTATTTTACTGATCGAACCTTAACCATACAAAGACAGCACTCCGTGTATTTTACTGATCGAACCTTAACCATACAAAGACAGCACTCCATGTATTTTACAGATCGAACCTTAACCATACAAAGACAGCACTCCATGTATTTTACTGATCGGACCTTAACCATACAAAGACAGCACTCCGTGTATTTTACATATCGAACCTTAACCATACAAAGACAGCACTCCATGTATTTTACTGATCGGACCTTAACCATACAAAGACAGCACTCCGTGTATTTTACTGATCGAACCTTAACCATACAAAGACAGCACTCCATGTATTTTACTGATCGGACCTTAACCATACAAAGACAGCACTCCATGTATTTTACAGATCGAACCTTAACCATACAAAGACAGCACTCCATGTATTTTACTGATCGAACCTTAACCATACAAAGACAGCACTCCGTGTATTTTACAGATCGAACCTTAACCATACAAAGACAGCACTCCGTGTATTTTACTGATCGAACCTTAACCATACAAAGACAGCACTCCATGTATTTTACTGATCGGACCTTAACCATACAAAGACAGCACTCCGTGTATTTTACTGATCGGACCTTAACCATACAAAGACAGCACTCCGTGTATTTTACATATCGAACCTTAACCATACAAAGACAGCACTCCATGTATTTTACTGATCGGACCTTAACCATACAAAGACAGCACTCCGTGTATTTTACTGATCGAACCTTAACCATACAAAGACAGCACTCCATGTATTTTACTGATCGGACCTTAACCATACAAAGACAGCACTCCGTGTATTTTACAGATCGGACCTTAACCATACAAAGACAGCACTCCATGTATTTTACTGATCAAACCTTAACCATACAAAGACAGCACTCCGTGTATTTTACTGATCGAACCTTAACCATACAAAGACAGCACTCCATGTATTTTACTGATCGAACCTTAACCATACAAAGACAGCACTCCGTGTATTTTACTGATCGAACCTTAACCATACAAAGACAGCACTCCATGTATTTTACTGATCGAACCTTAACCATACAAAGACAGCACTCCGTGTATTTTACAGATCGAACCTTAACCATACAAAGACAGCACTCCGTATGTGTTTCGTGTCGAAACTTCAGTATCGATTATATCAGAGAAATTCCAAGAAGTCAGAATGGAGTGTATATTACCACTGTACGTAGTACAAGCTGTTCTTAAATAGGTCGACCTCCTAGAAATCTGTAAATGTATGCCTCACACACAGTAATGTATGCCTCACACACAGTAATGTATGCCTCTCACACAGTAATTGCTCCTCAAAAAAGCAGAAAGATACCGGCCGAACAGTTTACCGTTAAAAAGCTCCTTAAACACGATAAGTATAACAATCTATTAAGGTAGATTTCTATTTGATTTCCACCACACCACCTGTTCGTCATACTCTCCATCAAATCCAACATTTCTACAAATTTAAGCTATGCTTATTTCATCCTGAGCTGTTTTGATTTTTTTTATCAGAATCAGTCAGTTAAAATATTGTTGCTGGAAGCGTAGACGTACCGTGAGGATTGTATCACTTTACATCTTAGTTTCAGTTTGTGTACCTTTCGAAACATTTCACCACACTGTTGAATCCTTGTAGCTGTCAGTTTCATTTTCAATGAGATATTTGTACATGGCAATGCCACTAGAATCACATTTTGGGCACAATAGAAATTGGTTGTGACGTTGTTACTGTTTAGGGATTTGTTTCCTGTCCGCTTGCATGTCGTTGATGAAACTTTAAATTGCCACTAGTACTGTGATTAGATCCTACGGCCATTAGTTGATCTACATTTCCATTGGCAGATCGCCTGTCCTAATAGATGACTATGCCAACCCACAAAAAGAAAATATCAATATGTCATAATAATCATAATTTACGTTAAAATTCAATAAAACTGGGGCACAATATCAACAAACGTAAAGATTTACACGGAAACTCCTGAAAAAAATACATGACCAGGGCCCATATTCATGAAACCATTCTCATGCTCAAGCATATATTTTGTGCTCAAGCAAACTTTTTTTATAATTCACCTAAATAACATAAAATAATACAAATGTCAAATTTAAACTTTGAATATAGCTTTGACTTGAAGTCCTTTCAAAATTGTTTTTAAATCTTCGGCAAAATCGGCCTTATTTATCAACTTTTAACTTAAACAAGACGTAAGGCTTGAGCACAAAATTCACGCTTGAGCATGAGAACGGTTTCATGAATACGGGCCCAGGTTACTTTTCACAATTCAAAAATGTAAATGCAGGGGTACCTGTACTTGGACCACTATTATTTCTTCTTTATATCAATGGTATCACAACTAATATTTCCACTAATATCAAACTATTTGCTGACGACACTTCCTTGTATGTTATCATAGATAATAATCCTGCACTGGCCGCACAATCTCTCAACACTGATCTTACTAATATTGATGAATTGGCAACTAACTCGGATATAAAATTCAACCCAAATAAAATCAAATCATTAATATTTTCCAGAAAACAAAACACACATCACCCTCAAATGTAATTTCAAAATAGCCAACTTATAGACACAACATCACATCAGCACTTAGGACTTACACTTCAAGATGATGCAACATGGAAACAGCATATAAATGATATATACAAAAAACCTATAGTAGATTGAATATTCTTCTTCGTGTGAAAACTAAAATTAACCGAAAATCACTCATTAAAATATACGTGGGATTTATTCGGCCAATTTTGGAATATGCAGATATAATTTGGGATAATTGCACACAACATGAAAAAGATCTTCTCGAATCAGTACAAACAGAAGCAGCTCGGATAATAACAGGTCTTCGTTCTGGGGTATCACATGACAAACTTTATAATGAACTAGGTTGGGAAACACTATCTAAAAGTCGAAATAAACACAAACATATAATGATGTACAAAATTATGAATGGACGGACTCCCCAATACTTACAAGATGTTTTAATTCCCTTTATTAATAATCAAAATGTTAAACCCTACCCTCTCAGACAAAGTAGGCTCTCTAACCCACCATTGTGTAGAACCAATAACTATTTTGACAGCTTCTTTCCACACGTGTCGCACAATTAACACCACTCTGATCTTATTCACTCTCCCTCACCAGCAGCATTAAAAAATCACTTAATAAAGACATTGTTTCTGATAACGAGTCTTTATCAACAGAAGAGCAAACATCATTTTATGTCAACTTAGAAACTCGTGTAGTAATTTAAATTTTGATTTACACCATGACCATCTTATTAATATTCCAGCTTGTAACTGCTCTGCTGAACATGAAAGAGTATCTCATTACTTTCTGGAATATCCCCATTTTAACTACCAACTATCCTTTTCACTTCACTTAATAGATATAGCAACCATAACCATATTGATGTCAACTTTCTTCTTCGTGGCTGTCCTGATTGTGATGGGCCTACAAATAGACAAATACTTAATAATGTACATATTTTTATTGGAAATACCCATCGTTTTAATCTTTATATGACTTAAAAAGCCAAGATGTTCAATTAAATTAATGAATTGATATTACTCTTTGTGGATTCCAGTTGAGCAAGTCCAACTATTACATGTATAAATGATTTCTAATGTGTACATGTACTTGTTTAGCTGTGTGTTTTTGTGTATGGCGTGTGCAAGATATTATGTAAGAGTTATCCCCCTTTGATTACGTTAATTTGTTTTCCTTCTTGTGTATATTTATTTTCCGTTTCTTGTCAATCTATGATTCATTATTTAATTCATTATTCGGCCATGTATGGAGAAAATTTATATAGACATTGTCTGTTATTCAATCCATTTGACTTAATATCATGTCAATAAAATTTGATGAGATGAAAAACAGCTGCTGTAGAAGAGTTTATTGTGTCACTAATTTCCAGCTCTGGTTGGAGTTATGTTATATGATAAACGCGGTCAATAAATTTGTTGTAATCTAAAGACAATATGCCATCATTTTGAAATCTGAAAGTGAAAATTACTGATTTTGAAAAGTCATCTTTGATATTGTCAACCTCAAACTCGATAATTTCTTAAGATTTCGTGTTTATATATCTCTGTTTTGAGTTTGAAAATTATCTTCAACCAGAAGTGATATAGACCCAAAACTTGCAATTTTGTCAGTCAAGAACTCAATTAAAAATATGTAAAACTATTTCTGATAAGATCCAATGCATTCAGGCGTGACAGAGTTTTCTTCGGTGTCTGGCAATGGTTTGAGACGATGGGACAAAGAATTGTACCTGAAGCTTGGTTGCTATACCCGACACTGACGTTTTCATTCCCACTAGGAATTGTTGATTAGTTATTTTTCTTGGCCAAGTAAGATATTGTGGTGATTTGAAATTTCTGTTATTAAGGGACAGTTAAAGTCAAACATTTTCTAGGCTTTAGGAATGATTTTGAGCATGTCTTTTTTGTTTAATGGCCTGTCTGAGGTACGGGTGGTTCCATACTTATGGTCAACTACATTCTTGCAATCACAGAAAAAGCTACATTATTCTTCTGTGTTAAGCCAACACATTAAAGTATTTTAATGATCTCACCATTCTTTGTCTATATTTTTATATTTATTTTTACCCGAGTTCTTCGTTTTATCAAGTCTGCCTTTTGAATTCTTTCTAAATTTTAAATCAGCGCTTATTGAAAAGCCAGCTTCCGTCATGTTATTTACAAAGCCTCGCACAAATGTTGCTAATTTCTTATCCGGAACTCTATCAATACCTCCTTCGTCACTTAGAAACATTTTGAGGTATGTTATAAACCCTTGTATAGGATGTAAAGATCCTGCAGGTTTTGGTTTAGATTTAGCAACAGTACTATAAGGCAGCTGATAAGGTTTCTTTTTGTGTTTCATAAATTTTGTGGTATTGACTACATCAAGAGTAGACGAGTTAGCTCCAATGATCTCTAAAGTTGAGTTATCTCCCTTGCTCTTCATTTTGTTATTCTTTTTGAAGTCTTCTCTCATCCTGTCCAACGATTCTTGAACAATTTTCAACTGATCTGTAAAGTAGGCAGGGTGGGCTGGATCGATGTCAGTGAGAATGTATGTAAACAATCTATGGCGATCGGTCTTGATAAGCTTGTACGTTAGAGAGTTCAGTCCGTCCGTCCGCCAGGTGTCGTTAGTGTGTCTCAACAGGTAAAATCTTGAGGGAAAAATTATATATAAAACATGACTAAGTGACGTAAAAAGCTGTCTGAAGGCCTCACAATCTTAACACTGCATGATTCAATCAAAAACCTATATTTCATATATTTTATACTCGATATATATGGTATCAAGTTTAGAATCTTTACTTTAAGATCTATAAATATCAATGAAATAAAAGTCCTTATAACACCACAAGTTAAACACTCAGAATTTCTAACAGTTGTGTTACGAGGATTGCTATCCTATTGATATTAAAAACCCGAAGAAAATGTTGCGAAGTGTCTATAGATATCAGCGGAGATTAGACCATACTCGACCTGTCTTTATTCGTGGATAAGTCTTTTTTGTGTGACAACATCCGGTACCTGGCTATATCCGGTTTGTATCGAGTGATGTTTAGATGGGTATTTTTAAGTCTGAAAATAAAAAAAAAACAATCAAGTACTGAAAGACTTAATAATGTTTATGATATTTTTATCATTAAATGTGATGTATAATCCATCACACAAAAAACAATCAAACCCTTTTATAGATGATGACTATTAGCAGTCAAATTCGAAATTTTGAATACATTTTCCATCTTATCAATACGATTGCCACTGACTTTGGTAACAGATATTTAAGAAAAGACAAGATTAACTTTTTTTTTTTAAATTACAACAGACTAAAGGTTTTTTTTAATAATCTTGAAAATCATCATGCAGTTTTCTCGAGAAAAAAAAGGTAAAATAAAAAATTAGGGAGTAATGACAAACAGAAAATTAACTGTATATGCGTGTATAAATACAAACTCTTTTAGTCGACATTACCTAAAATCAGAACAAAGTGTTTGAAAACATGATAGTAGCTAACAAGACAGCGGCCTGTTTAGGACATTAGAAATATGTTGATGATAACCTGACAATGTTCTGAAACACTGACATAGTCGATTGTTGAGAAACTCACGTTTCGTTTTATTCTCCTTAACGTTGGAAAAGTGTAAACATATTAATATGCGGAATGCGGACTGGAACTTCTAGCTACGGATTTATTATTTATTCAAATCGGTCTCATTGGTGTTCACGAAGCATATCTATGAGTCCTGGCGTGAAAATCATATAAAAGTGTGACGTGACACACCGTTACTCTTTGAAATTATACACATGCCAACATGCCGTGCTCCGTATATCGATTGGATTAGATCGATTCATTGAGTTGGGGCCTCGGTTTGTGTCAGCAGGCGCGCGCACGATAAGGCAACAAGATATGAAAGAAAACTTTACTCAAGAGGAACAGAATAATATCATCTAACAAGTAATTAAACACCTGAGGTGTGTTATATACGTCTCTGATAAATGTCATACGAAATAATACTTGGATGAATTATTTCTCGTAATTAAAACAACTCCTTACAAAAATCCAAGATGTCACTATCCACTGTTGTCAAGTGCTATACACGCGTGTACCGTTCACGATCAGGGGAAACATACGTCTCTAATACTAACTTGAAACTAGTTACAATGTAAATTATCACTATATTGATAATATACTTACTGGTGTCGATCTAGCTTCGTTAGAATCGTCATAACGCGGTCATTTTTTCATATATCAAACTTATACCTCGTACAAAAAAGAAATATGGTCATATTAAGTGCATACAGTTGCTGTTTATAACTTTATATAGTATTTTATAATTTAAAGTGAGAAGAAGCTGCCCTCACGTGTGGTACACAATGTGCACGTGTGTCGCATGTGATCGAGGAAAATTCAAGTCTCCATTCCTAAACCGATTTATCGAACTAAAAAGAAAACAAACAGGAAAATACCAACATGTCAACATGTCATAATCCAATACCAATATGTCAACAGAATCCCATACCAACATGTCAACATAATCATAATCCAATACCAACATGTCAACATAATCATAATCCAATACCAACATGTCAACATAATCCAATACCAACATGTCAACATAATCATAATCCAATACCAACATGTCAACATAATCATAATACAATACCAACATGTCAACATAATCATAATACAATACCAACATGTCAACATAATCCAATACCAACATGTCAACATAATCCAATACCAACATGTCAACATAATCATAATCCAATACCAACATGTCAACATAATCCAATACCAACATGTCAACATAATCCAATACCAACATGTCAACATAATCCAATACCAACATGTCAACATAATCCAATACCAACATGTCAACATAATAATCCAATACCAACATGTCAACATAATCCAATACCAACATGTCAACATAATCATAATCCAATACCAACATGTCAACATAATCCAATACCAACATGTCAACATAATCATAATCCAATACCAACATGTCAACATAATAATCTAATACCAACATGTCAACATAATCATAATCCAATACCAACATGTCAACATAATCATAATCCAATACCAACATGTCAACATAATAATCCAATACCAACATGTCAACATAATCCAATACCAACATGTCAACATAATCCAATACCAACATGTCAACATAATCCAATACCAACATGTCAACATAATCATAATCCAATACCAACATGTCAACATAATAATCCAATACCAACATGTCAACATAATCATAATCCAATACCAACATGTCAACATAATAATCCAATACCAACATGTCAACATAATCATAATCCAAACTCAAATTCAATAAAACGAGGGCAAAATAGGAACAATTGAACGATTTAAAAAGTACAAGGAGAATGTGACCAAGTGTTCCAGAAGAGTAAGCGTCTTCTGCTTCATCGACAACACCCACCATGTAAACCTTGGTCAATCCAAGTAAGTAATGTCGAGTTCTCAAATGAGAACAAGGTATACAACAACGGAACCATCAGGCAAACTAACGAGCACCAAACACGTCCAGCTTCATCAACATCAACTTAAAACTTGGAACAAAGGTTCTACGTCTCTTACTGTCGTTGATAGTCACGAAGAGAATAGATGTCGGTAATCCCATAATGCCTTGCATTCCTCTATCTTGTCCCGTGTCAGAGAATCAACTTCAAGCCATAACAATGTTGTTTAGTGATTGACGCAAATCTCAATCTGGATAGTGTCAAGAATACCTGATCTGTCACTTTTGTTTTTTAGTATTGTAATGATGCGTGTCTGTCTCTTTGCTCACGTATGCATGTATGATACTGTATTGAAGATGGCGGCATTATTTATAGCACACGACTGCCACAAGAGGTCGCGGGTAAATCCTTGAACCAATCAGAAAGCTAGGACTGGTATAACATGTAACATCTACCTCCAAGGGCTGTGAAAAAGGCTGAAACCCTAACTCCGATATGTTTATCATAAAAACACGAAATATCGTATTAAAAACATTAATCATTATGCCATTAAAATGAATTTCTATTTTTGATTTTGAAAACGAAGACCAATCACAATTTAGTTATACGGTGATATATGGAGACGTTCTATACAGAGGTATCACCTGACTGTTAACATCTCTGATGTTAGCGACCAAGGAATAGGAAAGTAGTTATAGATAATAAAATTAGCTAAAATATAATGTAATGTGAAAATGTGAAAAGTGGAGACGCACCTACTCGTAATTTTATAAAACAAGCTGTTCGAATTTCGAATTTGTATAAATAGCTTTTGTTGGCATTAATGGAAGCGCGAGAGGGGCTTACTATGAGTGAAATCCGAAGTACTCGTGAAAGATCACTTGGTCGGGTAAGTGACTTCATAAATACGTAGGTGAAAGATTGAGTTCCAACCGACCACACACGACGGGATAAGATGTGTTATACACCGTTTTCGAGGATGAGTTGAATCCGGAAAAAAGATATGTCTTAAAATCAAAGCAATACACGTGAAAAATTGATTTTGTTAAAAGCGCAGAAAATTTGCATGATTTCTGCTATATCATCCTAGTATAACATTCACCTCTTGTACATATCGTCGTCCTCGCCTCCCCAGCCAAAGAACTTGTTTGAGAAACCGTTTACATTGACAAAATCTTTCTTCTTCATCGCGGCCACACCTCCGAAGATTGTCTGATAAGGTAATCTGTAAAAAAAAAAAAAAAAAAAACATACCATTACTTTACAGTTTCATATGTGGTATGAATCGCACATTGACGATTAGCTTATGAAAGCATATATAATACTGATGTCATGTTAAAAATGGAAATAAAAGTGTTTATATCACTCTTGGTTTTTGGACTTCCACAATAATGTTCAACATAAAAGGATATTGTTTGTGGACAATGACTTAAGATATTAGAACAACATTATTGTGGAAAAGTTTAGTGAAATTTTAGTAAGCATAACCTCCAAAGGCACGAAGAATATGCAATCTTTAAACAGCTTGACCTTTCCCCTGTTCATGAAACAAAAAAAAAACTCCTTTACGTCTTCTAGTTAATGTTAAGCAAATGGTCTTTCATAGAGCCACTTGAAATACAAAATTTAGGTCCTATAATGACAACAGTGATATGATAAAGTTTCATAACAAAGATTCCTTGCGAGTCTCGAGTTTGTAGGTAGTTGGAACTGCTAAATTTAGTCCACGAAACCTTCATACCACGTTTCAATTTACTCGAATAATTGCACAATTCAGAATCTACACATGTATTTGACTTTCGTTTTTAAGTTATTCGGTATTATAAAATTTAATTTTATTTGAATTATGTGCCTGGTGACCTCTTAGATTTTGACATTTCTGTTGATCATTTTGGATATTTCACAGCTGCCTCCTCGTCTCCAAAAGCGAGGCCCTTAGCTGGAGTTAAGTTCATTGCTTGGCTGTACTGTATCTAATTCTAAATTGGTTTAAATAAATGAAATTCACTTGACTGTGCATCTTGTACAATCTTCAAGGTAAGGAAGAACAACTATTTCAATTTTGTTATTCGAATCACCACAGAGATGTGTCTTTTTTCTTTATTCATAGATAAAGATAAATAGAAAATCCCACGCGATGTTCTAATCTTGTGAGATTGAAGTAACAAGTCAGAAGAACTTTTACTTTACCGGTAAAATCTCATGTAAATGCAGAACAAATTTAAGATTCCGTTTATCACTTAATTTTGATACCTTTGAAACAGTTATAAAACCATTATTTTGTAAGACTGATTCAGAATCTGAATAGGCGATATTTTCTCGCCATGCCTCTTTCTTTAGAGACATGGCATCATGGCGACCATAAAAGAAACCAATGGACCATTCAGCCAGTTATAAATACGCCCGGTCATATTACACATGTATAATAACAAAGATTATGCTATGGGTATTACAGTATTACACTGATAACTCGGTAGTTATATGATAGCATAAGTTCTTGGGATTTACCACATGAATACGTGATATTCGCTTACTTGTATTTTAGTTTGTCCACGGCTACAGACATATGGCGTGGACCTGAGGGACATGAGTAAATATTATGGTCATTCTCTGGGATCAAGTCCACGTCATGGAAGATAAAACATTGGTAGTCGTAATCCCGGCTGGCCTCCGTGAACCCAATGTTGAGAGACAACGCCCGGTTAAAGTCCGACATTGGCGCCTTAAACACAACTTAAATATCAGAGGAACATTCAATACCACCGGAAAAGTTTGCTTCATTTACTGATAGTAATTACTAATATTTCACCCTGATACGTGTTCAGTGTTTAGTGAAACCAAATTCGTCCTTTTATTGACTCTTTCTAACACATAACAAATTTGTCAAAGCTCTCCGGAAGAAAGAACTCTAGCTTCCAATAACTCCGAATCGATATTCTTGTTTTGTATGCCATTGCGTATTAGCAGTCATTTCTTTTGTTATGTTAGTTAATTTTTGAGGTGTTTATAATTAGAATTTATTTCAAATATCTCCATCAATTATACGAAAATGTTAAAATATATCCTCTCATTCAAAACCGTAAAAGGTTATGGGGATAGTGCAGATTAATATGTGAATTGAAACTGTTTCATTCAACAGGAATTACAATCCTCGTTGGCATTACGTCGGTCAAATTATATGTGTTAAATCAATTGCAATGCATAACGAAATAAAATGTCTTCAAATAAGGTTGCATTGGGTCCACAAACACAAAAAACTTTGTCAACACACAAGTGCACGATATATAAAAGTATCACTCAAGGTATATAACTTTGAGGATATCGGGAAAAGATGACATGAATTAAAGAAGTCTTAAAAACAAAAGGAAAGACAGGGAATTACCTTGGTTAAAACGGTAATTGTTTAATTTAAACGCCATAGACAAAATGCTATAAGTGTAATGCAAATGAAATATTCTATGTACCCGAAATTAGAAAAAAGGCAAACGAATAGTTAAAAGTTCTGTTCAAGATGGCGCGAGTTCATCATGATGAAAAACAGCTGCAAAATTTATTTAAAAACTTACCACCTCTACGACGTATATGCCATAATCCAACTGCTGCCGTTGGAGAACGGCGTGAAGGTTGTTCATGAGCACTAGTAGGTGTAATTTCCGGTTCCGGTAGGGGATAATGATAGCTACTCGATGTCGAGCGGTGCAATATTTCGGTTTGTATCTGCCACCATTTTGAAGATTTTTGTACTTTTTCTCTACTTGAACCATTTCATAGTTGGCAAAATCAATTTTCACCTTTCCAACTGTAAATGAATGCTATTCTTTTAAATAATACGACAAGAGATATTTCAACAAAATATCGCACCATTAGGGCAACAAGGTGCTCTGATTTCTTTCCGAGAAAAACACGTTGGAAACTTTTACTTCTAGTCAGTTGGGCTTAAATTCATTTAAAAAAGAAAGAATGTGACACAGTTCAAGTAAAATATTCGAAACAACTTGTTTTGGTAATATAGAGGGCAGAAGGCTCTTATAAATAGTATATCCGCGGTAAGTTTTAAAGATAACATTAAAAGATGCGGTTTCTTTATACTCATAGGAAACAAGGTGCTATCTTATGCAAGATGCTATCTCCTGCGATTTATATGTAGCAATGTGCCATCTCCTGAGATTCATATGAAACAAGATGTTTTCTTGATATTAATATGTGACAAGGTGATATCTCCAGAAATTTATATGAAACAAGGTGCTAGGTGCTGTCTCCTGAGATTTATATGTAACAAGATGCTATCTCATGATATTTTCATGTAACAAGGTGCAGTTTCATGAGGTTTATATTCTCCTTAGTGTAATGTTTTTTTGTTTTGTTTTTTTTTTTCAAAAAACAGTTTTTATTCTGTAAGTATCAATTTGTTCTATATCCTATGGCAGTCCTATAGGCCTGCATTTTTATGGGTTATCAGCTAGATATATCCAAGTGTTAGGAAACGAAAAATAGTCTCCATCATATGTCTGAAATCCTGTATCCTGTTTCATCTTATTTTGGTTATACAGTTGTTAGATTTGGGTGTGTATTTTATTGATTTCCTGACCCTCAACATCACTACCATCCTTGTCTAAAATACTGTTTGCTAATATCCTTGAAGAACACTTTAAAGTATACAGTGTCGGAAGCAACACATATTCTAGAATAACAATTTTTAGTATAGAGTGTCTGAAGCAACGAATATCTAAGAAAAAAACATTTTGCAGTATAGAGTGTCTGAAGCAACAAATATCCTAAAAGAACACTTTATAGTACAGAGCGTCTGAAGCAACGGATATCATAGAATAACATTTTATAGTATAAAGTGTCTGAAGCAACGAATATCTAAGAAAAACATTTTGTAGTATAGAGTGTCTGAAGCAACAAATATCCTAAAAGAACACTTTATAGTATAGAGTGTCTGAAGCAATGGATATCCTAGAATAACATTTTACAGTATAGAGTGTCTGAAGCAACGAATATCCTAAAAGAACACTTTATAGTACAGAGTGTCTGAAGCAACGGATATCATAGAATAACATTTTATAGTATAAAGTGTCTGAAGCAACGGATATCTAAGAAAAACATTTTGTAGTATAGAGTGTCTGAAGCAACAAATATTTAGAAAAACATTTTGATATCCAGTATACAATGAGAACACTTCATAGAAACAAGCAACAAATATTCGAGAAAAACATTTTGATATCCAGTATACAATGTCTGAAACAACAAATATCCTAGAATAACACTTTGTAGTATAGAGTGTCTGAAGTAACAAATATCCTAGATGAACACTTTATAGTATAGAGTGTCTGAAACAAGAAATATCCGAGAAAAACAATTTGTAGTATAGGGTGTCTGACGTCCACCAGCAGTGTCTACCATGCTTACTGATCTAAACTATGGATTTCAAAATGTTATCAAGAGATATCCACTACCTCTTGCAGTAGGGGACCATATTAATTATTTGGAACGTAACATGGCGTTGTGCCCATGTCTCTTAAGACTAGCACCTTGACGCTGTAAACAACATAGAAATAGTACCCGTCATAAATTGACAACAAAAGGAATGTCATTTTCGTCAAAAATATAAAACTTATGAAATTGTTTATAATCTTAATGCTGTATATTTTCTTTTTATACAAATTATAGTTAGGTATTAGATACATTTTTAACGTCTTGACGTATGATAAACAGTACTCACCGAGGCCAGGCGGAACTTCTGGACACAGGGGCAGAGGTTTCATGGTTTTGATACTTTCATTCGGAGTGAATTCTCTGATATTTCGGATTTTCTCATGGTATTCACTATTGTCGACAGATTGACCAAGTTTATAAAGAGAATGAGTAATCGTTTTATACAAACATATCATAATTATTGATATATGGAACATGATAAACAGACGTAATGTTAGCTTCATTCGGCGGCAGGGCAGTGGAAACACTGTTTTATATAGACGTCTTCGAGGAGACAAATGAATTCTTCTCATCTCAGGAATAGTATTGAATGAAGACATTGCTGTTGTTTTATTTGAAATGTGTGATTTCATATCTGTGAAAATAAATAAGTGTGTGTTAAATACCTGTTTTGCATATGAAGAATCAATTGATTAATCAAAACTATGCCGTTATGTCTAGAAAGAAATATTTTTAAAGCTTTATAACATATGTCTTCGTAACAAATGTCCATAACATTATGAAAACTCTTTTATATTATCATCGGCAACGCGTGACTAAGAATATAGGTAAACAACAAAGAATGATTCAGTACCTCAGCACAATCAATAATAATAGCATAAAAATTAGAAACTGTCGTACCTTAAGGTCCACACAAAGCTGCAAATCGACGTCATACATTGATCAGACACAACATGGAGAAAGAGTCTGAAGTACAACGAAAAACGCACTACAATCAAATAAACTAAAACACCAGTTAACGAGTCGTTTTCCTGTAAATAGGGAATCCATTTCGACTGATGGTGAGGTTAGTAAACACGAAACGTAGTCAACTTCAAATAATCTGTTATCTATCTATACACTTAGAAACAATGCAAGGTATTATCTATATAGGTAGGTCAAGATAAGGAAAGTTTCTCACACAACGACAGCTTACACAGTAATCATTGTTAGTAAAGGTAGGTTGCAATAGAAATAAATCGATATATTTAATTATCCCTTCTTTCATAATAAGCAACAGAGTCCTGCATCCTCAGAGAATTAACATGGGGGTATTCTACTGGAACGGTTTGGGTCTACTTTTAATTCACTGCAGTAAACATAAGCGTTTTCCTTGACTATGTTATAAGTTAGACAAAGACATTAACAAAATTAAATATCAGCATAAAAGCTATATCAAATGAAAGGCATTTTTTTTACCTGCCACATATACGATTGCGTGATCAATACATAAAAGATTGATTTTGTCAGGAATATCGTCCCAGGAGATTCCATCGTCAACCCATCAAATGGAGTTTACTTAGCCTTCATTATCGATCACAACTTGAACCATCAATATGGCGATAAAAAGTAAAACTAAACAATGATATCAAAATTCCAAACAGAATCATTAAAGAAATAATTAAAAGATTGATATCTGTTAACATAACCTAATAGGCGTCGTTCATTATTCATGGATCTATTCTCGTATTTTCACTATATGAGTAATGATTCTGATAGGCGATTTCAACATGGAAACAATATCATAAATAATGGACAAAAATAGAAATATCGATGTAAACAATTACACAGGTGCTTCAAAAACATTTCCGATAATCAAAGTCAGTTTTATCATTATTATATTTTGCTTGATTTGATTGGTGTTTTACGGTCATTCGACATCAAGGGCTGTATTTGGCCAAACAACTCAAATCATTTGCATTATGTCTAAAGATACAGTTAAATAAACTTTTTTTATCCTGCCATTGTCGGAACACGCCTGCCACAGATATTTTTTGTTGTATTCGGCAGTGACGGAAAATAGCTGTATTTTAGTCAAAGACTCGTCACTTTTGTCTTTCTGTCCCGAGTCAAAATACAGCTCATATTTTAAGTCGCTGATCATAAATCCTCTAAATAGGTTAAAACCAAATAATTGGAGAGGAGCAAATGGTGTATTAAAATAACAATACGGTAAAAGTACGAAATCTATTACATTATAGGGATAGCGTATCTCCTCATTTTGATTTTGACTTTTCTTTCGATCACTTTAGATTTTCCTCAGTCGCCTCCTAGCTTTCCTCAAAACGTTAGCATTTGGCATCACTGGCAAGTCCTAGAGAGACGAAACAACTATATAAAAGTTTTTAATTCCTTATTTGGCACTATCGTAATTACTCTAAAGTTATAAAGGTGATATTCACTTGTGTGTCTTTTATCAATGTTATTTTATCGTTTTTCGCGGAGGTAATGAGTTGATTTTTTAGATCTGGGACCTTTAGATATTTGGTAGTTATTTGAAAAAAGAAACTGAGTAGTAAATGAAAACTGGTTGAGAATTATATCAAATTAAAGAAATATTTTTATTTGTTAACAAATCTTTCTAAATAATGATTTTCAATGTTTTCATATAGAGAAATGCTGGGCATCAAGAGATTAACACATTCGTGATATAACAATTGAATGTTTTGGAGAGGTACACCTCTAAGGATAGATCTTCTCGGTTATGTGTTTGACATAATTGGGATACCAATCCGATAACCATATTGGGTATCAAGAGAGAAAGACAGTCATGGTATAGAGAATTACTCATTGATCTTGTAGTACCAAAGAGGTTAACTAACTGAGCTGTAATTTGGAAATATTTGCAATACCCAACGTATAGGCATGGGTAACATTGCTGGGTTTCAAAATCCATATAAGTGATACAGGCCCTCTTGACCCTTTCTTCATATGATCATCTGAATCCCACAAGGAAGAAATCACCCGAGTAATATCATTAAGCGGTACTGATTACATTGAAACTATGTCTGTCTCCATTAGATGATTTTATCGATTGTCATTGGTTTAAACAAACATCGATTCCAGTTATTGGTCTCAGAGGACATATCTCTAATACAACACTGGAGTTATCCAGAGATCTCTTGAATTATTCTATCATCAAAGGATTCATGCTTGGATAGAAACAACGCATGGTATATAAAACTAATTTTTATTTGTTTTATATACAATGAGCAAGACCAAGTAAAATACAGCATCAACAATTGCTCTATATATATAAAGGTTCAAGAGTCTACCATTATTCTTGATTGATTCTCGCAACTCTTCAAGTTTAATGGTTGTACTTTTGTCCCCCGTCAGGTTCAATGGATATGATTTTGTCGCCATCGTGTTTAATGGATGTAATTTTGTCACTTCATGTTAAATGGATATGATTTTTTTCCCTTCAGGTAGAATGAATGTGATTTTGTACCTTCAGATTTAATGGATATAATTATGTCTCTTTAGGTTATTGGATATGATTTTGACCCTTCGGGTTTAATGGATATGGTTTTGTCTCCATCCAGTTAAATGGATATGATTTTTTTTCGCTTCAGGTTTACTGGTTGATCCTTTTCCACTTCAAGTTTTATTAATGTGATTGTGTCCTCTTCATATTCAATGGACAAATATCCTAGAACAATACTTTATAAAATAGAATGTCTGAAGCAAAAACTATATTATAAAAACACTTTAATATCCAATATAGAGTGACACAAGCAACAAATATCCCAAAAGAACACTTAATATTACAGCGAGTCTAAAGCAAAAAATATTCTAGAAGAACAATTTGATATCCAGAATAGAGTGTCTGAAGCAACAACTACCCTAGAAGAACAATTTGATATCCAGTATACAGTGTCTAAATCAACAACTACCCTAGAAGAACAATTTGATATCCAGTATACAGTGTCTAAATCAACAACTACCCTAGAAGAACAATTTGATATCCAGTATACAGTGTCTGAAGCAACAAATATTCTAGAAAAGCACTGTATAGTTAAGAGTGTCTGAAGCAAAAATATTCTAGAAGAACACTTTATAGTATATAGTATCTGAAACAACAAATATCCCAGAACAATACTTTATAGTAAAGAGTGTCTGAAGCGACAAATATCCTAGAAGAATACTTTATAGTAAAGAGTGTCTGAAGCAACAAATATCCTAGAAAAAACACTTTATAGTAAAGAGTGTCTGAAGCAACAAATATCCTAGAAAAACACTTTATAGTAAAGAGTGTCTGAAGCAATAAATATCCTAGAAGAAAACTTTATAGTATTGAGTGTCTGAAGCAACAGATATCCTAGAGAAACACTTTGATGTACATTGTTTCTCAAGCAAAAAAATAAGATCTGCTTGTTCAACAACCTGTTTTGAAGTGTTTGATTGTTGTTCTTACTGCTGACATTGTGGCATCATTTAACCATATCATAGTAACCCTGACCACATATAGCCGGACATGTCGGAAAGATATAAACCCTATTGGATCACAGCAATCATGCAGTTCATTATTATATGTAAACGAACTAGCTGGGATATATTCCGATACAGAAAATGGAGTATACTTTTCTTTATATAGTTTACGAATACTAATTCTACGCCACTGAATTACACGATCTTGTTTAGTATATACTCTTGACACAGTAAACAACAGAGAGATAGTACATTGTTGCCCGACCTCTCAATTTACTGATAAGCTCGTGATAACAATCTCACCCGTCATAAATTGACAACAAAAGGAATGTCATTTTCGTCAAAAATGTAAAACTTGAATGAAATTGTTTAAAATCTTAGTGCTGTATATTTTCTTTTTATACAAATTATAGTTAGGTATTAGATACATTTTTAACGCCTTGACGTATGATAAATAGTACTCACCGAGGCCAGGCGGAACATCTGGACACAGGGGCAGAGGTTTCATGGTTTTGATACTTTCATTCGGAGTAAATTCTCTGATATTTCGGATTTTCTCATGGTATTCACTATTGTCGACAGATTGACCAAGTTTATTAAGAGAATAAGTAATCGTTTTATACAAACATATCATACTAATTGATATTTGGAACATGATAAACAGACGTAATGTTAGCTTCATTCGGCGGCAGGGCAGTACAAACACTGTTTTATATAGACGTCTTCGAGGAGACAAAATGAATTCTTCTCATCTCAGGAATAGTATGAATGAAGACATTGCTGTTGTTTTATTTGAAATGTGTGATTTCATATCTGTGAAAATAAATAAGTGTGTGTTAAATACCTGTTTTGCATATGAAGAATCAATTGATTAATTAAAACTATGCCGTTATGTCTAGAAAGAAATATTTTTAAAGCTTTATAACATATGTCTTCGTAACAAATGTCCATAACATGATGAAAACTCTTTTATATTATCATCGGCAACGCGTGACTAAGAATATAGGTAAACAACAAAGAATGATTCAGTACCTCAGCACAATCAACAATAATAGCATAAAAATTAGAAACTGTCGTACCTTAAGGTCCACACAAAGCTGCAAATCGACGTCATACATTGATCAGACACAACATGGAGAAAGAGTCTAAAGAACAACGACAAACGCACTACAATAAAATACACTAAAACACCAGTTAACGAGTCGTTTTTCTGTAAATAGGGAATCCATTTCGACTGATGGTGTGTTTAGTAAACACGAAACGTAGTCAACTTCAAATAATCTGTTATCTATCTAAACACTTAGAAACAATGTCAGGTATTACCTCTTTAGGTAGGACCAGATAAAAAGTTTCTCACACAACGACAGCTTACACAGTAATCATTGCTAGTAAAGGTAGGTTGCAATAGAAACAAATCGATATATTTAATTATCCCTTCATTCATGATAAGCAACATAGTCCTGCATCCTCAGAGAATTAACGTGGGGGTATTCTACTGGAACGGTATGGGTCTACTGTTAATTCACTGCAGTAAACATAAGCGTTTTCCTTGACTAGACAAAGACATTAACAAAATTAAATATCAGCATAAAAACTTGATACCTGAGACATATACGATTGTGTTTTCAATACATAAAAGTTTGATTTTGTCAGGAATAGCGTCCCAGGAGATTCCATCGTCAACCCATCAAATGGAGTTTACTTAGCCTTCACTATCGATCACAACAACTTGAACCATCAATATGGCGATAAAAAGTAAAACTAAACAATGATATCAAAATTCCATACAGAATCATTAAAGAAATAATTAAAAGATTGATATCTGTTAACATAACCTAATAGGCGTCGTTCATTATTCATGGATCTATTCTCGTATTTTCACTGTATGAGTAATGATTCTGATAGGCGATTTCAACATGGAAACAATATCATAAATAATGGACAAAAATAGAAATATCGATGTAAACAACTACACAGGTGCTTCAAAAACATTTCCGATAATCAAAGTCAGTTTTATCATTATTATATTTTGCTTGATTTGATTGGTGTTTTACGGTCATTCGACATCAAGGGTTGTATTTGGCCAAACAACTCAAATCATTTGCACTATGTCTAAAGATACAGTTAAAGAAACTTTTTTATCCTGCCATTGTCGGAACACGCCTGCCTCATATATTTTTTGTTGTATTCGGCAGTGGCGGAAAATAGCTGTATTTTAGTCAAAGACTCGTCACTTTTGTCTTTCTGTCCCGAGTCAAAATACAGCTCATATTTTATTCGCTGATTATAAATCCTCTATATAGGATAAAACCAAATAATTGGAGAGGAGCAAATGGTGTATTAAAATAACAATACGTTAAAAGTACGAAATCTATTACATTATAGGGATAGCGTATCTCCTCATTTTGATTTTGACTTTTCTTTCGATCACTTTAGATTTTCCGCAGTCGCCTCCTAGCTTTCCTCAAAATGTTGGCATTTGGCATCACTGGCAAGTCCTAGAGGGATGAAACAGCTATATAAAAGTTTAATTCCTTATTTGGCACTACTGAATCTACTCTAGAGTTATAAAGGTGATATCCACTTGTGTGTATTTTATCAATGTTATTTTATCGTGTTTCAGGGAGGTAAAGAGTTATTTTTTTTAGATATGGGACCTTTAGATATTTGGTATTTGTAAAAAGAAATTGAGTAGTAAATGAAAACTAGTTGACAATTATATCAAATTAAAGAAATATGTTTATTTTTTAACAAATCGTTCTAAATAATGATTTTCATTGCTTCAAATCCTAAACAGCTTTTCACGAGTCGATAAATATTGTTGACTATTAAGATTTTTTAGTATTTGGTGTGACATCAATCGTTTGGACTTAATATCTGTGTTATAACTTAAATAGTTGGAATCCCCATCACATAACCATATAGAGAAATGCTGGGCATCAAGAGATTAACACATTCGTGATATAACAATTGAATTTTTGGGAGAGGTACACCTCTAAGCCTCTCGGTTATGTGTTTGACATAGTTGGGATACCAATCCGATAACCATATTGGGTATCAAGAGAGAAAGACAGTCATGGTATAGAGAATTACTCATTGATCTTGTAACTAACTGAGCTGTAATTTGGAAATATTTGCAATACCCAACGTATAGGCATGGGTAACATTGCTGGGTTTCAAAATCCATATAAGTGATACAGGCCCTCTTGACCCTTTCTTCATATGATCATTTGAATCCCACAAGGAAGAAATCACCCGAGTAATATCAGTAAGCGGTACTGATTACATTGAAACTATGTCTGTCTCCATTAGATGATTTTATCGATTGTCATTGGTTTAAACAAATATCGATTCCAGTTATTGGTCTCAGAGGACATATCTCTAATACAACACTGGAGTTATCCAGAGATCTCTTGAATTATTCTATCATCAAAGGATTCATGCTTGGATAGAAACAACGCATGGTATATAAAACTAATATTTTCTATATACAATGAGCAAGAACAAGTAAAATACAGCAAAATATGTATATTATAGAAATAAATCAACAATTTGTTCTATATATACAAAAGTTAAAGAGTCTACCATTAATCTTGATTGATTCTCGCAACTCTTCAAGTTTAATGGTTGTACTTTTGTCCCCCGTCAGTTTCAATGGATATGATTTTGTCGCCATCGTGTTTAATGGATGTAATTTTGTCACTTCAGGTTTGATGAATGTGAATTTTTCCCCTTCAGGTTAAATGGATATGATTTTGTTCCCTTTAGGTTTAATTGAATTTATTTTGTATCTTCAGGTTTGATAGATGGGATTTCGTCCTTTCAGGTTCACTGATTTGATTTTATACCCTCAGATTAAATAGATATGAATTTGTCCCTTCAACTTTTATGGATGTCATTTTGTCCCTTCAGGTTAAATGAATATGATTTTGTCTCCATCAAGTTTAATAGATATGATTTTGTCCCCTTCAGGTTTAAATGGACATGATTTTGTGTCCTTAAGATTTAATTTTAATTTTTGATATATGTTATTTTGTCGTTTTAGCCTGAATGGATATCATTTTGTCTTTTCAAGTTTAATGGATATGATTTTGCCCCCTTGATCTTAAATAAATGTGATTTTGTCGCCATCGGGTTAAATAGACGTGATTTTGTCCCTTCAGGTTTGATGGAAGTGATTTTGCCACCATCAGGTTTAATGGATATGATTTTGTCCCGTATAGTTAAATGGATGTAATTTTGTCAAAATCGGGTTTTGGTGAATGAGATTTTGTCACCTCAGGTTTAATTGATGTTACTTAGTCCCTTTGAGATTTAATGAATATGATTTGTCCCTTCTGGTTTCATGGATATGATTTTGTCCCTTCAGAATAAATGAATGTGATTTTTGTATTTCCAAGTTTAATGGATGTGATTTTGTCTGCTGCAGAGGTAATGGATATTATTTTGTCAACTTGATTTTTAATATATGTTATTTTGTCCCTTTAGCCTGAATGGATATCATTTTGTCTTTTCAAGTTTGATGGATTTGATTTTGTCTCTTCAGTTTTAATGGATATGATTTTGTCCCTTCAGAGGTAATGGATTTTATTTTGTCCCCTTTAGGTTTCATAGATGTGATGCTGTCCCTTCATGTTTAATGAATATTATTTTTTCTTTTCAGGTTTACTGGATGTGATTTTGTCCCTTTCATGTTTATGGATATGATTTTGTCTCTTCATGTTCAATGGGTGTAAATTTTTTCCCGTAAGGTGAAATGGATATGATTTTGTCTCAATCGGGTTTAACGGATGTGATATTGTCCCTTCAAGTTTAATGAATTTGATTTTGTACTTTCTGGTTTAATGGATATGATTTTGTCCCTTCATGTTAATTTGATATGATTTTGTTCCCTTTAGAATTATTGAATGTGATTTTATTCACTTCAGGTTAAATGGATATGATTTTGTCCCCTTCCGGTTAAATGGATGTGATTTCGTTCCGTTAGGTTAAATAGAAAATGATTTTGTCCCCATCAGGTTTAATGGACGAAATTATGTCCTTTCAGGTTTGGTAGATTTGATGTTGCCCCTTCAGAGGTAATGGATATTTTTTTGTCACCTTAGGTTTAATGGATGTTATTTTTTCCCTTTAGGTTTAATGGATGTTATTTTTTCCCTTCAGGTTTAATGGATGTTATTTTTTCCCCTTTAGGTTTAATGGATGTTATTTTTTCCCTTCAGGTTAAATGGGCATAATTTTGTCCTCATCAGGTTTGATGGATCTGAAATTGTACCTTAATGGTTTAAAGGATGTGATTTTGTCCCTTTAGGTTAAATGGATGTGATTTTGTACCTTCCATCTACAAATAATACTAGATTTCTCTCCACACCTTCTAAAGGAAAATTAAAATTTGCAAAAAGGACAGATATGGAAGTGAAATTTATTACAAAGTGTAATTTCCCACTTTAAGGGCTTGATACAATGAATAAATAGACATGGGTACATTTTTTGTGGAAAATCATACTTAAATTTACTTGTATTATTTCGGGTAGGTTTACGAGAGTCGCTACTACCCGTTGTACATTGATAAAAAAACTAAATAGGATTCACGAAATATTAAATAATTTCAAACATTTTAAATTGAAAAAGGGAAAATGAACCTCAGCTGGTTGAAACCTTAGAATACAAGAAGTAAAAATGAAAAAGAAAACTTTGATATTTGATATCATTTGAATAGTTTGAAATCTCAGTATAGCTATCTGAACTCAATTGAAACTATTTTAAAAAATATTCATATTAAAGCATAATTGTTATATTATTAAACTAAAAATAATAGCACTATATCACTAAACTTTTAATGTAAGCTCCAATTTGACGAGACTATGGCAAAATAAGCACATAAGAAAGAATTTATGCTGAGATCGCCGAAAAATGTACCATTAGAAAACGACCAAGTGTTACGGAATGGTAAGCGCATTCTGCTTCTTCGACGACACCTGCCATGTAAACCCTGGTATATACATAGTTTAAACGTTAGTTTGAAACAAGAAAAGTCTTTCTGTTCACAGTTCGATTTCTCTATTGCCATATAAAGCGAATTTGTAGGTAATAAAATTGATTGTTTCTGCTTATGTGATACTTGGTATAATGTTATTTTGTTTCTCATGTTCAATTCTTCACTGCGAGTTTTCTAGTAACATCAATAATATGATAAAGTGATAGATACTTTAAATGTTAAATAAGTATTATAAATTAAATACTATATTTTGTCTCATTAAAAGATCAGTAAACCATTTTTTCTTATCCAAATGAATTAAATAAGAAACGTAAGAAGACATTTTGATTGCTTGTTTTATCTATCTGATCACAGATTGATATATACAAGGCAACACAATGTGATAGCTTCCTTACATTTAAGACCACGGGTACACTTTGTCTTCACACAAACGCGTAATATCTTATTTAAAATAGCACCAACTTCTACATAATTTACAGACGGGCATCTTCAAATCGGAAGCTACACTTATATTACACCATTCAAGGCATCATGTCGTACACAAATATGACATGAATTCGCGAAAAAAAATTGTATACATCGTCCTAATTTACAGGGTAGTAGTAGCATGCTCTTATCTATTATAAATAGATACGAAAAATCGTAAGAATTCCCGATATCATTACAAAGCTGTTAATTCATGAGAAGTCACTATGATTAGACAATGTAAATTTCATGCTTGCTTAATCAATCAAATTGTTATATTTATCAGTGATTTGTAATCAAGACATTAGTTATATACTTACAATCCTTAATTTTCTTGGGGATAAATTTTCTTGTTTTCGTGGGAACGAACAAGTGTTAGAAAATTTATTGATTATATTTATAACCGAAATCAAGCGTCCACGAAAAAAGTATTCTATGAAAAAACACAAAAATAGAGACCTATGAAAAAGCATGATTAAACGGTTTTATAGTTAATTGATGCATCTAACTATTAACTCTATTGTGGGTTTAAAATTGTTATAATTTTGTATAGTTAAATACCAGTTCGTCAGTCATTTTTCCAAACGATATCCGATAAATGAAAGAACTTGTCCGATAGAATTGTGTAAGTAAAAATATAACACGAATAAAAATAAATACAATCGTAAACATAAAGATTGAACTAGTTCTACACTAAAAGTCCTTTCTGACAGGTTTCCGTACCGGAAGTCTCGGCTCCTCCGTAACCTTGTACTCACGCGGACGTCTTCCTTCACTCGCAACAGAGTATGAGCGCGGGTCAACGTAGTATGATTTCGCGTGTGGGTCATACTTGTATTGAACGTCATCAGTATTGTTGTACTTCTTGGTGTAAATGTCAGTCATAGCGGTTCCCGCGCGATGTCCACCACGACTACGTGCATCATACAGATAGCCCGGATTGACAATAGGTAATCCGTCTGTTTTAGACATGGCGTATATATGATATTCACCATTTTCGGCTATTATTGTTACATCCACTTTTTCCATATGTCCGTACAAACGTTTGAGATCTTTTATCACAATGTCCGGTAAATCTCTATAGGATATGTTAGAGTCCACGACCTCGATCGACGTCATTTGACCACGCTTTAGCTTTCCTTTAATCTTAAAGTTTGTTGGATAACGGCTTCCACTATGATAACCGAAATTCATATTCAGAATAGGGCCGGGAAGTCTTTCTCCGTGTGGTCCGTAAAAATGGTGGATTTCACCGGTCGGATCCTGTATTCCGCCATTCTGGTCCGCTCGTTGATAACCAGATATACCGCCATGTTTATATGGATAAGCCGGAGGTTGTGGTGCACTTTGGTACGGGATAATGTTGGAATTCTGTATTACATTCCCATAAGGTCCATATCCGTATAATGGCTGTGCGTGACTCTGTTGCGGGTACACCGGCATCACTTTCTGGTTTGCATTTTGAGGGATATTTAGATCGTCTGCCAGATTTCCCATCTGATATCTAGGGTTTTGAAAATTTTGTTTGTTCGGTATATGTTGAGGAACTGAAATAGGTGGAACATCAATGAGAGGCCTGTCACCAAACTTTGTTGATACTATGGACCTGTGTGTTCTCCCAGCCATTGTAACCGCAGTATTTCTTCCACTACCGACAAATTCTATTTCGCCTTTTTAAATCCCGGTATTGTATCGTCTACTCGCCGAACACTAGCCATTATTGTCTATTGAAAATTCATTACAATATACTCCCTTGTTGATATCACCGTTTATGAATTCCGATCAATGGTTGTTGTATAGTAAATACGATCATAGGTTAATGCTTGTAAACCATCATGAATACTTTACACTACTCATTGAGATAAGGTATTTAAACTGACCATCCATATACTGAAAAATAGCACATACAAATTCCACTTTTCAAAACCTCTGTCAAAGTCAACTCAACCCTTCAGTAAATGATCAACAATATTTTCTGATAAAGACGTCGGCTTTTTTTAATCAAAATAAGATTCCTTCCATGATCCGAATTTTTTTGTGAAGTCTGTCAGCACTTCAGTATATAATATCCTTGTTTATAAGTGATTTTTGAACTATTGAACACTTCTAACTGTGTTCAGTGTTGTCAATATAAAATCACGAACCACTTGGCTTTATCATACATACGTCTCTGTTTCGCTTGAAGTGTCCTTTCACGTAATCCGCCATGTAATGTCCCACCTATCGACCACAAAACACCACTTGAAGTCGTAGCTAGTCATACATGTTCACTTTGTCATTTAAACATTCAAACTATTGATACGACAGCCAGGACACTACACACCTTAAAAATCTTGCTGCACCATGAAGCTCCCGTAAAGCTGTCCCACATGTATCGTGATAAATCCGCCATATTTCCTCACCAAACGGTAAAAGTCGTCATTGATAAATTTGTAGAAAGCATGATACTTAACATTGTTTATCATTTCAAAATAACTTACACGTTTTATAAATACCTTTTCTCATGAAGATTTACACCAGGCCTTATCTAAAATGTCTCGCGGGGTTTCTCTTATATATGATATTTGAGAACTTTTTACTAATATCTTAGCACACCCGTTTCTAACGTAAATATTACACATCCTGAGGTTATCCATTTGTAAATAATCTTCTGTCAGTGTTATTCCAATCAATGTCGGCAGGGAGTTGATTTAAGTCATAAGCCTTGAATTCCCGTGAAAATCTCAGGTAGAATGAAATTCGCTGTTTATGCATACCACTCCGGGCCTTGTTCACCATAACACAAAACTAGCAAATACTTTAAAGTGAGAAAGCGTCTCGGTAGCAGACATGGAGATCTATATAGTCTATATCAATAGAAAGAGGTACGAATGAGGCACCGACGGGGTAGCGTTCAAAATTCAAATATACACATTTTAATAAAGGTACACCTGAGGCACCGACGGGGTGGGGGGTGGGGGGGGGGGTGGTCGTTCAAGACTTAAATACACACAACTTTATATAGGTAGACCTGAGGTACCCACGGGATGACGTCTGGATTTCAAATATAAACAGCCTAAAAAATATGAACAAGAGGTTCCGTTGGGATGTCGTCCAAATATACAAGTGATATACTGCCGGAGTGTCGTCCAAAAATCAAAGCAGTTTTAATAAAAGGCATTCACGGGAGGTATCGTTATACAATGGTGATATATTAAATTTTCTATATCAATCACTATTTAAGTTTTGTCAAAACATTATACAAAGTGAATCCCTTTAGTGTCCTTACTGTGAACAGGTGAAACGTTATACATCCAAATATACTTGTTTACTAATAGTAAATTATGCGTATTTGTTCGATAAGATATTTTCCTAATTGTTTGTTTGAGTGATGTCACGTTCTTATACAAAATCAACAACTGAATTGTTCAACCTGATTTGTTTTATCAAATTCAAATTTACCAATGATGTTGTTCGTGTCTATTTATTAAACGCTAAGACGTCGAAAAGTCTGTGATTACTTGGTGGGTGGTTCCGAATCACTACCGAACTCACAAAAGAGAAGTCAAGGGGACAGAGAGGATTCAAAAGTATGCAAAAATGATTTTATACAAAGTATAATGATGATAGGACTTGTGGTAATTTGAGAGAATTTGTCACACGTTTATCAGTATTCAGAAAGAAGAGAATGATATGAAACATTTACTTTCTTATGTCAAAATCTGTTTATCTAAAGACACAATGACGTCACAACCTCCCTATGTTACCCCTTCCTAAATACACTTGTTGAAGACGCTGTAATTGAGAGGTACTTGTCTGTTCCATAGTACGTTTGTATAAAAGCTTTTCAAAAATAAACATTTAAAAAATACAAAAGTGTTGATATGCATTCCTGATATTGTTGAATCCTATACAGCCTAGTTTCCAGGTGAAAATCTCACTTTTCTTCATTACTATTTCATAAGCGACAGACAAATTTTCACATAGAAACACAATGATGGAGTATTTGTATACTAATTATGACGATGGGACATTATTTGGAGGATAAATTTACATGAATGTACATTGTTTACATTTAGATAACACCAAGTGCATATTTATATTCTACAATAGTAAGCTTTTCCCTTCCGCCCCCTAGTCGCCCTCTCCTATTCAAGCTTTTCCATTCCAACCCCTCGTCTCCTCAACTATTCAAGCTTTCTCGTAGCTCCCTTACTTATGAAAAGAGAGCTATTGAGAAGACTGCATTCATGAACACGGTATATTTAATGTTGTGATTGACACCGTCTTTAACGAATTGCGGTAGCCTTTTATACATCTTTGAATAAACTATGAATAAATACGTTATAAGCTGATGACTTTCTAATATGCAGGATACTGTGTGTAACCTTACACATGTGTGTATTCCACAATAATAAACACAGAGCACAGCGAACTAACACATTTCAGTATACACTACAATATACGGACAGGACAAAAATACACAGTTTTTTGTTTTCCTTTGTATGTATACATATATTTGACAATAAAGTTAGGACTGATTAGTTTGTCACTCTGTTCCCTAGTTTAACAGAACACTGATTATTTTGTCACTCTGTTCCCTAGTTTAACAGAACACTGATTATTTTGTCACTCTGTTCCCTAGTTTAACAGAACACTGATTATTTTGTCACTCTGTTCCCTAGTTTAACAGAACACTGATTATTTTGTCACTCTGTTCCCTAGTTTAACAGAACACTGATTATTTTGTCACTCTGTCCCTAGTTTAACAGAACACTGATTATTTTGTCACTCTGTTCCCTAGTTTAACAGAACATTATTTTGTCACTCTGTTCCCTAGTTTAACAGAACACTGATTATTTTGTCACTCTGTTCCCTAGTTTAACAGAACACTGATTATTTTGTCACTCTGTTCCCTAGTTTAACAGAACACTGATTATTTTGTCACTCTGTTCCCTAGTTTAACAGAACACTGATTATTTTGTCACTCTGTTCCCTAGTTTAACAGAACACTGATTATTTTGTCACTCTGTTCCCTAGTTTAACAGAACACTGATTATTTTGTCACTCTGTTCCCTAGTTTAACAGAACACTGATTATTTTGTCACTCTGTTCCCTAGTTTAACAGAACACTGATTATTTTGTCACTCTGTTCCCTAGTTTAACAGAACACTGATTATTTTGTCACTCTGTTCACTAGTTTTACAGAACACTGATTATTTTGTCACTCTGTTCCCTAGTTTACAGAACACTGATTATTTTGTCACTCTGTTCCCTAGTTTAACAGAACACTGATTATTTTGTTCCCTAGTTTAACAGAACACTGATTATTTTGTCACTCTGTTCCCTAGTTTAACAGAACACTGATTATTTTGTCACTCTGTTCCCTAGTTTAACAGAACACTGATTATTTTGTCACTCTGTTCCCTAGTTTAACAGAACACTGATTATTTTGTCACTCTGTTCCCTAGTTTAACAGAACACTGATTATTTTGTCACTCTGTTCCCTAGTTTAACAGAACACTGATTATTTTGTCACTCTGTTCCCTAGTTTAACAGAACACTGATTATTTTGTCACTCTGTTCCCTAGTTTAACAGAACACTGATTATTTTGTCACTCTGTTCCCTAGTTTAACAGAACACTGATTATTTTGTCACTCTGTTCCCTAGTTTAACAGAACACTGATTATTTTGTCACTCTGTTCCCTAGTTTAACAGAACACTGATTATTTTGTCACTCTGTTCCCTAGTTTAACAGAACACTGATTATTTTGTCACTCTGTTCCCTAGTTTAACAGAACACTGATTATTTTGTCACTCTGTTCCCTAGTTTAACAGAACACTGATTATTTTGTCACTCTGTTCCCTAGTTTAACAGAACACTGATTATTTTGTTTCACTCACTGTTTAACAGAACACTGATTATTTTGTCACTCTGTTCCCTAGTTTAACAGAACACTGATTATTTTGTCACTCTGTTCCCTAGTTTAACAGAACACTGATTATTTTGTCACTCTGTTCCCTAGTTTAACAGAACACTGATTATTTTGTCACTCTGTTCCCTAGTTTAACAGAACACTGATTATTTTGTCACTCTGTTCCCTAGTTTAACAGAACACTGATTATTTTGTCACTCTGTTCCCTAGTTTAACAGAACACTGATTATTTTGTCACTCTGTTCCCTAGTTTAACAGAACACTGATTATTTTGTCACTCTGTTCCCTAGTTTAACAGAACACTGATTATTTTGTCACTCTGTTCCCTAGTTTAACAGAACACTGATTATCTTTTAAATATTAGATATATATTGCTAATTCACACGATTTTATTTTGAGTTCATGATTACGAATGTAGGCTGACAGCAAGAGGGAAATGATGAGTTATAATTCATGAAATTTTGGAAACATACAAGGTGAGATATTTCCTTTTACCCTAAAACAGATGTATGCAAGCCTACTATCATTTATTCCTTGAGCGATGTCAACCCATGATTCATTTCAATAAGATACCTTATATAGTATATCAGATGTCTTATTTCGAGTTATCAGAAATCTCATATAATACAGATAAGTACACGGATAAGTCGAAGTCGACGGGACCAAATGAAATATTCGACATGTTCGATGGTTCTATTTAGCCTTGTTTC